CCATTTTGTGATTGCTATGTCAAATGATGGGAAAGGAGAGCAATTCTATTTTGGCCTAATTAAAAAATTCCACACAGCATCATACAAATATAGATTACATAGAGCTTTCTCAATTTAACTTACTCTTTCTTTACTCCATTGTTGTATTTGATTCTGGCAGAAAAAATTGCTGGAGATCTCACTCTGTTCCTCTCAGATCTATCTGAAAAGTCAGTTTACTTGGTCTCAAAATCTCTCTTGCTTGGTTTACAGTATTGCTATTAGTTTTTATTCTGCTGACTTGAGCTCATTTCTCATTTATTATGGCTCAAACTGTCCAATGCAGTAAATGAGTTTTCTTTGTCTGCCCAACCTAACTGTATTGTGCACCCAAAGAAAACTACCCTGAGTTTGTTTTAGTTAAGGTGCATTGAAGTGTTCTGTATGTTTCAAGTACTCTTGGAAATTCAGAGGTGATGCAGCAGCTTTTAAAAAACAGCATTCCACTTAAAGAATATAATCCCCATATTTTTGAGGTTAATACTGTAACACATTTTAAGGAGTTTGGATTCCTTTTGCCAATCTGTAAGTTTTTTATGTGTGCTTACATTGTTTTTAGATGTGGCTGAATGTATCACTTTGCCGTGTCAATTTACAGCTTAAATAAACTTTAATTCAGTGCATGAACTAAAATGTTTTCTGGCAGAATTGGCTTAGACATTGGCTTTTGCAGCAGCTACAGTTCATTGTCTTAAGTTGAAGCAGGCGATATGCTTAACACTTAAGCTGTTTCATAGAATGCTGTTGATGTTGTTAAATAATGCATGCTCATTTTTGTACAACTCTACAAGAGATCTGCCTTCTAATTATCAAAGATTTTGTGTAATTTAATAAAATTATAATTTATTCTTATCCAATTTTATGTAGAGGTGATATTTTAAGACAGACTTTTTCTGTACATTATGGCAGCCTTACTAATTTTGAATGGAGCTTCTTGCTGACCAAACCTGCCCCCTTCTCTGACGTGCTTTGTTTGCTCTGTACAGATAGAGATTCTGACGTGGGTCTCTCACCTTTGCCAGGGGTACCAAACCTGTGGAGGTTTATCTAAGCTCTTCCTTCTCACACTAGGGAAGGTGTGTTCACATCATCATTTTTTCCCTGATGTTTGACTGTCTCAGATGGTAGAAAAATGGGTTTTGAAGCTGGGACAGTGAAGGAGACCTGAATCTGAAATGAAAGTGACACCATTGATGAAAAAGATCTCTGTTTGGGTCCTACCTATCCAGTAATATGCATATTTTGATTTTACTGCATTTATAACTGGCAAGCTTGTGGCAAGCTGGGAAACTTGGCACTATTTCAGCAGTAGAAACTGGCTCTGCAGAATTTGTGGCATTTCTTCCTACCCACTAGTTGCTGTAGTCCAAGCTGTGTAGTTGCCAGAGGCAACCCCGACATTAATGTTGTGTGATGACTGCACTGCAAGCTAGCTGAAGTAGAAACTCAGCACAGGAAGTTTTTGGGTAGGTCTGGTATTTCTGGGTGTGATTAAGCAGGTGTCTGTCCTTTTCTAAGGCCCTCGTAAGTCAAAGTGACAGGAAGACTTGTGGCATGAATTGTCGCTGCTCCATTCAAAACCAGTTGGGACAAACTGGCATTTTCACAACCTTTATTCCAGGAAGATGCTGTAATTGTGTCTTGAATTTACACTACTAAGAGAGTTACTGAACTCACTGTCCCCTTTGAAGTAACTCTTGACTTCCAGAGGTTATTGGATTGAGATTGCAGGTTTATAAAGCAGTGACCTCTTGTCATTAGACATCATGTTATATTGGTATGTAGCCTGAGGATTTCATTAGTTGAATTACCACAGCTTCTATGTGTACAGTTAGACATAAGCCTATCTGAGATTTAAATAAAAATCTACTTGGACCTGAGTATCATGCAGATGAGATGCTATTTTTAAGATTATAATGCTGCCCTGGTGTAGCTGAATATTTACTGAGATGAAGTTTGTGTGCATTTGTCCATTTTGATGCATGAGCAGAATGTTTGTATCCATCTTTGCCAGTTCTTTTCCTTGTTTACTTGCAGTCTGTGTAGTACAATCCAAACATTTCTCCTTCCTGGTTCCTGTGCCTGTGCCCCACATTTTTCCTCAAGAATGTTTGTAGTTTAGGATTTTGCACTTAGGGTGTTACTGCAAAACAAAAAAGAATTTCCCCACTCCTGCAAAGGTAGTGGTGCTTATGTTTGTGTAATAGTGAACTCTAGAATTTCTTCAGGTGTTGCAGTTTCTTCTTTGAAGGCTCACTTAGATCATGTAGCTCCTCGGAAAAGTACTAGATTTTTTTTTTTCTCATTTACTATCCTTCTGTCTGTTCCTGTCTGTCCCTGCTCAGATCCATGCTCTTGGTTTGCCACTAAACTACCAAACGCCTGGGTTCTGCAGGAACAGTGAAATTCAGTCATCTCTTCCTTTTGTGCACCAGTTTGTTACCACCTATTTATTAAATCTGATGGCTCCAAGTCTTCAGAGTCTTTATACAGCTATTTTCTTTAAAGCTTTTAGAAAGCAGGTAAAAGGTAAAGCTGTCATAAGCATCCTCTAGACCTTGAAAAAGATTTCAGTCACCTCTGAAAGAAATGTCTGATTCTAAAAAGTGTCCCCGAGCTAAAAGCTTTTTTTTTGTGAAGTATCCAGGAAATGCAAAGGAGGTCACTGCATTCGTGTACCTGGGAAAGAAAAGCAGATTTCTTTTAATTATCTGAGGTGTTGAAACTGACAGTAAATAGCAGAGCAATTTGAAGGATATATTGAATCCTATCTCATTGTGGCACACTTCTAAAAGGCAGGCATGAGGAGACCTTTCATGTCTCAAAAGAAACAGAACATCTTTTATTTTTGTTTAAGAACCAGTTTATCATCAGTTTATAAATTCACTATTGCTTTGTCTTGAAGCAGGCTGGTTTTGAATAATATAGCTCCTTTTCTTGATGACTGTGCTTTTCAAAATGAGCCTCTGAACTGTGTAATTTTTTTTCCTTTGTGCAGAGTGTCCTTAGTAAAAGTAGTTGAGAGGATTGAAAAGCAGACCACCTCACGTTGCCTAGAGTTGCAATTAAAAAAAAAAGTAACCCTCAAGTTTGAAAGTCAGATTCAAAGTGCTCTTTGCCTCTGGGCACTGCAAGAGCAGTGGTTATTAGATGACTAATAGCTTAGGTGGTTGTTAGTAAAACTCCCAGAATAACTTCCTCAAAAATGTGTGTGTAGCTTGAAAAAAATACATGTTGGGTGTGTTATGAGTGTATTACCAGTCTTAGAAGGAGAAGAGTATTCAGCTGCCTGGTTTTAGTTCAGTTTGTGGTATGGGTGATGGGAAGGTTTTTTTGGCTCTCCCTCTATAGGTAAAGACAACTAGATCATGCAAGAACCATCAAAAAGATAAGTGGCAGGAAACTTTCAAGTAATTTTTTAAATCTTGGGGGCTGTGTCAGATTTGCCTGGATTGAGAGGATGACTTACTTCATCCACCATGTAAAGTTAGATCAGGAGTAAAGTTTCAGACAAATAATACTAGTTCCTATTTTGTCAAAAGAACCTCAGTGAATGGAAACCTAACTCTCATGTATCTTCATCTGCATCTCAGTGTTGTGGTTCTCAGGGATTCTCTTTTTAGTCTTTATGTATTTGTATCTTGGTGTTTTGTGTTAGGACTGTTTTAACGCTCTCTCAAAATCAATTACTTGGAATGAGTTATAGAAATAAAGGCATCAGTCAAATAGTGCGCCCTCTAGTGTAGTAACGTGTTTGCTAGCGGGCAGAGCTTCTTCCTTCAGAGAAGTGCAGACTCCTCTCTGGAATAAGGTGTTCAGACTTTTCTGAGTTGACTTCCTGTGTCTCATGCAATTAGTTGTTTTGTTGTACTTTACCACTTGTTCGTATCACTTATATTTTTCATCCAATTTAATCTGAAGTTTGCTTTCATTGTAGTTTTTTAATGGAAAAGTTGTTGTTGTGTTTTCAATACTGATAAAATTATTTTGTAGTTATTTAATGTGTTTAAAGAACTATAAAGAAGGTTCTTAAAAGTTAATGTACACATGGAATATTCTTGAATTAATTTCATGTTCATATGAAACACCATTTTTCTAGAGCCCTTGCAGTCTTGCTTTCAGATGACACAAACATAAGGAAGATTAACGCTGCTCAAAATGCTGTGAACCTTATTTTTTGTGCTGTTGCTGTGTGGCATTGCATGACGGTGATCTCTGTTGGAGGATGTGCTTTTGAAGCTTGATATTAGAATTATGCCTCTTGTCCAGACTTGGAAGGAATTCCTATCCTGAAGATTTAATTAACATAAATAGTTTAGAGAGTACACTGCATTGAATACATAAATATAGCAACTTCAAACTACAATAGCAGCTATTGCTTTTCTGTGGATCAGTTGGAGTACATGCATAAACAGAGTATCATCTCTCTTGCTTATTTTGAGTTTAAAAGAGGAGATTGATCTTGAGCCTTGTTCTTTTAACTCTATAGGAGGTCAGAAGCCGACAGAAGTTGAAATCTCAAGAGCGGTGACTGTTTTTTAGTCTCAGTGTTTTCTTTCTTTAAACAATTGAAAGAGTTCCAAAGAATGTGTGACTTCTACTCCTGAAGAACAATTCAGTGAAATTTACTTTTGCATGTGACCAGTACCTTCTAGGTATTTCAAATATTAAGAATGGTTTGGTAGGAATAGCATATACATATATGAACCACTTGTGCCAGCAGCTCGAGTCTGTTTTAATATTTAAGAGTTCTTGATTGCTGTAATGTATGTTGTTATAACTAAGGTGATGGAGCACTCTTTGCATGTAACACAGGGTATGTGCTTAACAGGTGTATGATTTAACCTGCTTTTGCCAGTTAGTTGGCAACAAGATGTATTTTAAGTGTTACTTGTACTGTATGAACAGATTTCTTCTCCAGAGATGCAATTTTAAAAAGACCAACCTTTTTTTTTAGGTCCCTTTACAGATGTAGTAACTACAAATCTTAAACTACGAAATCCATCAGATAGAAAAGTATGCTTCAAAGTGAAGACCACAGCGCCTCGTCGATACTGCGTGAGGCCAAACAGTGGAATTATTGACCCGGGATCATCTGTAATTGTTTCAGGTAAAAATAAATGTATGCAGTTGTAGGTTAAGTGTTCTTAAGGCCTCTGATGCAGTTCCCTAATGCTTGATCCTAAAGACTGCTTGAAGTATGTCAGCTTTTTAAAGCCTTTTTATTTTTCAATAGAAAGGATTCCCCTCATTAGTGTGATGGCGACTTGATGTAGAGCTGCAATGATACATGGAAAAATCCTCCATGTAGAAAACTTGCCTTTGTCACATTTATTTGTGGCTCTCAGAAGGAGGAAAAGCAAGTTGAAAATGGGCAGTGACATTAACAGTACCTTTGCCTCAGTACAATATTCATGTTTGTGTCCTGAAGTAGATAATTTCTTGGCTGCTCTGATGTGCTTAAAGTGTAACATTTCATCGTTCATAGCATTTAAGAAAAAAATAGTTTACAATTGTACCTAGTGGTTTTTCTCGAGAAAATGGGAAGACTAGAAAATAGTCTGCAGATTTGGTAAATGATTTTTGTAGGTCATTCTCCTGACCGTTTTGTGGTAGAATCTCCAGAATAAGGGATATTCATTCAGGTTGTAGGTATCACAGGCAATACAGATGTGAACTCCTAGATCTCCTAGGTCTAGAAAATTGATTATTTTAGAACCCTTGGAGACCTCTGTAGCAAAGCAAAAGGGAAATAAGGGAGCAATCCTGAGAGCTTTTCAGATCCACATTCTTACACCCTTTGGGAAGTTTAAAAGAAGCTGGACAGCTATCTTCAGGTGATAGGTTCAAATGATGCAAAAAAGAAGTCAGGGCAAGTTTATGACTGATTAAAACCTTAGAGTAACTTTCCTTGTAGGAGTTTTCTAATAGAATATGATCTGTAGAATAGGGCCTTTTAAAATTTCATTAGTGCTTCCCATGGGCAGTCCAGCATCTCGACTCATGATACTTATTCACTGACTTGGGGATGAAAGATGATTTTACTGAGAATTGATTTAAGATTCAAATAGTCAAAAACTTCTTTATTTCTGTCTTCAACTACAACTTAGAGCCATTTTACCTTAGCTGTGTGTTTGACCTGGAATCTGGGATTTTTCTAGTGGGTAGTTCAATATCACAATAAAGATCTTGCTGGCATTTCTCTTCAGGGAATTGGATAGATTGAGGGATTGCATCCTGTGTGTTTTCATAGCTATGAATTATCTTTTTAAAGCTTTAAATATTTTGGTTTTTTAAATGAGTCAGTACTGGAGCTGTAAACAATACTGTGGCTTCAGGATCTCCAATAAAGGGAAACATGTCACACTGCTTGAGTCTTCAGCTGGCATGGCAGGAAGTCTTTGATGTGCCTATTTCTGTAATTGCTGGATTCTCATGCAGTTATTCAGCTACAGTGACCTCAAGATGTTTTCGAGTGCTATTGTTTAGTTACAGTGATTCCACAGTGCTTTGCAAAACTAAGTTCTCTTCCCCACAGTGTCAGCTTCGTATCTTTTTTTTTTTTAGGCATATAATTTCTTTTGGGTCATTTGCTAAGATAAGTGCAGAGATTATTTTTCTAGTGACCCACTTTATCTCATCAGTCTCTCAGCTGAATGTTTTCAGTGCTGAGTCATCTTTCATATAATTAAAAATAGATTTCTCTCATATTGTTGTGCAGAGAAAAATAACTATAGGATACTGTGGGCTGAAGTTCTTACGTTCAAAACTGAATGTTGTGGTAGTGTTAGCTGTCTTCAGCCTGTTTAATGCAGTGTGCTGATTCACAGTTTTTAAATTCATTGTTGGAAATGTGATTTGACAATCATTTTAAAGAAGTCCACTGACATTTTTTAATCATTTATTACTTTTCAACTGTGAATCACTAAGTAACCTTCTTCCACCATGTTTTTTAGTTTTTTTTTCCGGAAATACAATTGCATAGGAGCTGTTTTTCTTTACATTGATATTCTGAATTTACTATTTATTATCCTGTCATGTATTGTTTGCTGTTAACTTGTTAACAGCAATTGTTTGTTGTTGAGTTTTTTTCATAATATACCATGTTACTCTTGTTCCTTCACAGCTTGTTACTGTTACTTTTTAATGTTTTCCCCTCTGCTTTTGCATTTTTCTAGCTCTATCAGTATCTCTACCATAGCTTTCTCATTGCTATAAAATAGGTACATATATAGGTAACTGTTATAGGACTCCATGTACTTTTTCTTATATTTTTCTGAAACTGCCTCTGCTTCTCTTAATTTTGTATAAAGATATACTGAACTGAAATTCCCATTCTGTGGAAGACAGGTGTATGTACACTACGAAATAATTTATCTCTCCAGTTCATTGAGTCCTCATCCTCTGGTAGATCAAGTTGCAAGTCTGCTCCCACATACACACATTTAGATGTAATTTTTTTCGGTCTCTTTTACAGGATGTTTGTTCGTATTTGTATATAAAATGTCTTTTCCTATAGTAATTACAGAAATAATAATGTCAGCCGCACCAGACTCTGACCTCTCAGTCCCTTTTTCTGCAGTGTATGCACTGCCTTTGCATTTTAACTTTCAGTGTCTGTTCATTGAGGACTAAATCTGAAGTGGTTGCTGTATGTGCATGCTTGCTGTAGTGATTAGCTGAAGAATCACAGTTTTATTTTTTTCCTTTGAAACAGTTATGCTGCAGCCTTTTGACTATGACCCAAATGAGAAGAGTAAACACAAGTTTATGGTACAAACAACCTATGCACCACCAAATATTACAGATATGGAGGCAGTGGTAAGTAAAATTGGAGCAAAAAGGCTGATGTATTTTTTTCCTTAAAAATTTTGGCTTAACTAGAAATGATTCCTTTTTGAATAATTGAGTTTTCTCTGAACAAGGTCACCTCTTAGAACTTGATTGTAGTGATTAACATAGAGGTTACTGAATGGAAATAGGAGTGAGCCTAAGGTAAGGTCAGTTCAGTGTTAAAATATGGGCATATTATACCTTTATATGCAGCTAATTTAAAAGAGATAACCAGATTTAATTTAAATGAATCAAGAGTTTATTCAAACAACAAGCCTGAAGCTGTATGTAAATGGGTTCATTTGGTACGAAAAGTGTTTAAGTGAAATGTTGAATGGGATTATAACGAATTAAAACATTTTCAAGACTAAGATGTGTCTCCCTACAAAATACCAAATGCTGGCTAAACACAGCACAAATGATAGATTTATTTTCTGTTTTAATAGAACATGTTGTAACTTTAGTTCTTAGGCTGGGTTGGTCTGATGCAAGATCCAGGAGGTATGTAGGTTTGTGCTTGCTAGTTCAGAAGTGAGGTGCCTATTTCTGATTTTCCTGGCTGGCACCAATGGGACTGAAGCCCTCAGTTGTCAGCACATGCCTTTTAGGGTGCATGTGGACTCACGTAAGTATGTCCTAAGGTGGAGATCAATGTTGAACATGCTTCTAACTCTGCAAACGATTTTAAGTAATGCCTGGGTTCACGCAGGTACATTTGATGTTCACTCTAGGCAGGGAAGGAGAGGGGAAACAAAGGATAAAAATGAGATTTTATAAATTGCTGAATTCCAAGAGACCTTTTGGGCTCTGTCCCCTTACACGAAGGCAAAGACTGCTGTGACATCAGTCTTCACTGGAAGCAGTAGAAAACCTTCTAGATTTTGTGAAGCTGTGGAGACATGAATGTTAACATCTGTCTGCCTTTTTGAACTGGTTTGTTTTTCTTCATTTGCTCTAGCAGCTCTTGGTTATGTTTGGTAAATGAAGCCTCTCTATTTGGTAAGGATATAAAAACCAACTTCAAAAATACCTGTCAAATAACTGCTTTCTTAGTGAGTTCAGGTATACAGTACTGAGAAACAGATCTTGTAGAAAATTGCTAATTGTAGTTAAAAGTTACTGTATAATTAATACTGCTGGAAAAAAAAAATGGAAGCATGTTACGAAAAACTTGAATATTTGAATCTGTAACACCTATAAGGTAACAGGAGGGCCTGTTAGAAAAATTGCTGCAGACTTCAGACCTGTCTCTAAGCCTTAGAATTTAAGGCAACTACATGAAGTGCATGCTTTGAAAGTTAATTGTCAGTTGAGTAGGGAGATTCCAACATAGTGTAGTTATTTAATACTGAGAACTATTAAAATGTAATGTTTTTTATAAACAGCTTTGAAAAATTCTCTAGATTCAAATTGTCACATGATATGCAGTAAAAGGAGAAAGTGAGTAGAAGTCTAAAATTTGAAGAACTAAAGAAATTTATTCTAGAACACATGTAGAGTGACTAAAAGGTGTCTTTCAATCTTTTATTTAAAATCAGTCCTTTCAAGATGGGATACAAGCAGTGCATTTACTGAGGCATAATAGGGCTAGAACTTTCTTTTCAAACTGACTCAGATGCTACTTGTTTCTTGTTGTGTGTATTGTCCCCTCCCTGTGTCATACAAACCTCTGATGGATCCATCCTTGCATTCAGTTTACTCTTTTTCATTTCCAGACTTGAATAACCATCTCTAGCTTTTGTTGCTTCACAGCAGTGAGTGTGAACAAAAAGCATTGTTCATAAGCAAGTCTGAAAATTGCAGGGAGGGTAAGCATGCTATTCAGCTGTATAGGAGGTCAGTGCTAAGAGCAAGCTTGTGAACTGTTGAGATGTTTGCATGAGTCCAGCATGTTAAATAACTCTATTAATTATTTTCTTAGTGGAAAGAAGCAAAACCTGATGAGTTGATGGACTCCAAATTGAGATGTGTGTTTGAAATGCCCAATGAAAATGATAAACTGGTAAGTAAGAAATAAGAAACTGTTAGACACTGACTGATAGGATCTCGCAGAAATTTCAGGGATTTTTAAAAATTTATTTGATTTAATGACTAAATGAATTGATGGAATTTGTACTAAATTAGACAGGAGGGGTGTTCACTATATAACTTTTTAAGGATTCACAGAATCATGGAATATCCCAGGTTTAAAGGGACCTTGAAGTACCATCTCGTCCAAGATCTTGTCCCAGAGGGAGCACTTTGTCCAACCACATCTTTAAAAACTCCAGCAATTGAGAGCAGTTGCAAAAAACTATGTTTTTGTTGTTTTTATAGTTTATAGATGCAATCTCAGTTTAATCTTGAGGGGAAGGGGGGTGTAGGGATTGCTTTGTAGTTGGGGATTTTGGGGTTGGTTTATTGTTTTTTCTTTCTTTTTTGGAAAGGATAATTTATGAGATGAAGGTGTAAACTTCCTAAATGTGTGTTAAACAGTAAAAATGTAAAGGTTGAGCATTTATTATCAAGGCACTTAGTTGTCTACTTTCTGGCTTTAATTATATAAAATGTGTAATGTAGTGAGAGAAATGTAATGGGCTATACAAAACTACCTCCGTTTGTACTTCCTCCTAAGAAACTGTCCCTAGGGACAGAGGAGCTTACTTTTTGATTAAAGAGTCATCTCTTTACACTCTTAAGGGGCTTTAGGCCCTTTTAGGGCTAACTCTTTAAGGCCATTTTTCTCAGAGTGCAAGAGCTCTCCATCCTCATGTGTAAGAAATCAAGGAAGGCAGGCCAGAAAATGGCATGGCTGAGCAAGGATCTGCTCCTTGCATTGCAGAATAAGGTAATGCACAGCCAGTGGAAGCTGGGACATGTGACTTGGGAAGTGCAGGGGTATGGTTTGAGGGTGTGTAGGGGTGGGATCAGGAAAACTCAGTTACAGATGCAAAGGGATGTGAAGAGTAACAAGAAAGGACTCTGTAAGTGTGGGGTATGTTAGAAAAGGAAGGACAAGGAGAGTGAACCCCACTGATAAACAGGAAAGGGGAACTGGTGACAACAAATATGGAGAAGGCTGAGATACTCACTGACTTCTTTGCCTCAACCTTCACTGGCAGTCAGGCTTGCCAGGTCTTGGGGGTTCTCATGGTTGAAAAGCTGGACATAAATCTACAGTGTGTGCTCACAGCTCAGAAAAGCAATTGCATCTGGGGCTGCACCACAAGAAATGTGGCCAGCAGGTCAAGGGAAGAGATTCTCCCTCCTTATACTCTGCCCTTGTGAGACACCATCTGAAGTCCTGAATCCAGCTGTGGGTTCCCCAACGTAAGAAGCATGTGGACCTGCTGGAGCAAGTCCAGAGGAGGGCCATGAAGATCCTCAAAGGGCTGGAGCACCTCTCCTATGAAGACAGGCAGGGAGAACTGGGGTTGTTCAGCCTGGAGAAGGCTCCATGGACACCACATTGCAGCAACTTTTAACACAGGCAGATACTGATAGCACAAGGGGGAATAATTTTCAGCTAAAAGAGGAAAGATTTGGGTTTGATGTTTTGAGGAAATTCTTTGCTCAGGAGGTAGTGAGGAACAGGTTATCCAGAGAAATTGTGGATGTCCCATCCCTGAAGGTGTTCAAGGCTGTGTTGAATCAGGCTTTGAGCATATGATCTGGTGAAAATTGTCCCTGCCTGTAGTGGGCTGGGGGGCAAGGGAGTGGAACTAGATCATCTTTGAGATTCCTTCCCACCCAAACTATTCCATGATTGTGAGATTTTTAGCAGATCTGTGGGAATTAGATAGTTAATTTTAGTATTGTTCTTTTCACAGCTTATTGTGGCTCTTTAGAATTAGTAATGTATATTTCAGATGCTGTCAGACTTAATTTTCATGATTGTGCAGCACTTTATTTTCCTTCACTAAAAGGTATTACAGGTGCAAAACATTTGTGTCACACATACTTCATAGGAGTTTGTGACATGACCTGTTCTGATTTTACTTTTTGTTTCTTACTATTGCAGTATTACTTTCTTGCTTTTATTTCCCCCCCTCAAGTTCAAATGCTCTTTGGTGTATTTTATGCCCTCTTTTGGATGCCTTCTGGGTCAGTGTTAAGCAGCTAAAATATCAATTTGTGTCTCAGTAGAGTGTAGTACCAGGTAAACAGTGCAATCTTCTCTTGCTTTTATAACGCTTGAGCTAATCAGAATTGAGCTGTCAGTGTGTCTGTTCAGCTTACTGTAAATACAAACCTCATTGAACTATATTAGTAGCTTCATTGTTTCACTTTCAAGTTGTGGATGATTTTTCTCTAGGTAAGTAAATTCTCAAATCACTCTTGATGTTTGTAGAATGATATAGATGCAAGCAAATCCACCCCAGTACTGAACACATCTAAGCAGGATGGACCGATGCCAAAACCACATAGTGTTTCACTTAATGACACTGAAACAAGGAAGCTGGTGGAGGAGTGCAAAAGACTTCAGGCAGAGATTATGAAGCTGACAGATGAAAATCGGCACCTGAGAGTAAGTTCTGCATCCACCTTTATACTGAAGTGGCTTCACTCTTCTTGAGTGAAAGGTCTGGTTTCTAATTTGGCCAAAAGATGTACATTCCAGCAAGTAGATAAAGTTGTTAGAATGTCAAGATCGATTCATAATATGACTTTACTGTCCTGTGTATAATGTATATTTTGAACTTGTCAGTGATTGAGACTTTGTGGTTGTCATGGAGGAGACAGTGAAGCTGCAGAATATTCTTCTTAAATGAAGTGGTCCTATTTAAGGTGATCTTAGTTACTTTAAGTCTAAGTTGAAGCTACTGAATTAGTAGCTTTGTAGAAGTGCTTTATTTTTCATTAATGAGTGAGATCTAGAGCAGTAACATTTTGTATTACAAACAGCTAGTGAACAAGAGCAATTGTTTGGCCAGAGGAGGTAAGCAAACACTGCTTCCTTGTACCTTTATGTAAAGGTGTCATTCCAGTGACTGGTAACTAGTCAATACGTGACTTTGTGTCTTTTCTATATATTTGCTTTTGGAACAGTTCTGGCAATTTCATTGGCCATGGTAGTCTTTTAAAGAACTATAAAATAATATGATACCTCCATATCTCTTATTCTGATGACATTGACACTAAACAAAACGGATATATCTCCTTAACAATAAGGAATTACTGCTATTTAATTTTGACACGTATTAAGTAAGAGCAGAATGCTTCATTGGGCTTAGCAAGATTTTTGGTATATTTTTTAAGCAGAGAGACTAGTGAATTATGGTCCTTATTTAAAATATGGTTTTCTGTGTTCATGTTTCAGATTTGGGTGTGATGCAATGTTGAGGGTATGTGTTGAGGGGTTTTTTTAAACTTCATTTAAATATTTACCAGTAAATATGGCCTTTTGAGTTCAGCTTTCACTGTCCTAGTGATGTATTTATGTTTTTTTTCCATCTGTGTTTTTTCTTCCCCTCAGGATGAAGGCTTGAGGCTCAGAAAGGTAGCGCACTCGGATAAATCTGGATCACCCGCAGCTTTGGCCCTCAGAGATAATGGCTCTAATTCTCTTCCTTCACTTCTTGTTGTAATTGCAGCCATTTTCATTGGATTCTTTCTAGGGAAGTTCATCTTGTAGAAAGAATGAGTGAGAGAAGCATGCAAAACTGCAGCTTCCTGTTTTTTGTTTTAGTTTTTTTTTTTTTTTTTCCTCTTGGCCAGAAAAAGGTTTGTTTACCTACCACATCATGGGTAGTATGGCCCGAGCGGCCGTTCTTGTGTACAGCATCGTAACAGGCTTTGCCTTTAATGATCTCGCACGGTTAGAAAACACAATCTGAAAAGACAAACTGTTCAGCTGCTGGACAAAATTGTATATTCAGTCATCAATAGCAGGTATCAGTTGCACAGTCAGTCCTTTATGAAAATTCATAAATAAAGAAATGTTCTTTCTTTCTGTGGTTTTAATAAGAATTCGAAAATTGTTCAGAGTCTTGTAAATGTTATTTTAATAATCCTTTAAAATTTTATCTGTTGCTGTTACCTCTTGACAAATGATTTATTAGATTGCTAATCCCACTCATTCAGGAATATGACAAGAGGTATTCTGGGGGAAATGGTGCCTCTTACTGTGTAAATTTTCTCCTTACCTTACTTTGCTAATATCATGGCAGAATTTCTTTCTTATTCCTTGTGAGGCATTGTTGAGAGTTCTTCATCCTTAACAGTCCTGTCCCATAATATTTAACATGACAAAAGAAATAAAATTGTTAACAGATTTTTCTGCTGGGTAGCCTGTTTGTGTGTGTCGTGCTTTTAGAGGGGATTCTTAACAAGTTCATTGTTCATGGTAATTTGCTACTTGTAACAAATGGCTATTTTGAAGTTTATTTGCTTAAGTCTCTGGCTTTGACTGTTGTAATTGAAGCTTGGGAAAGAAAAAAAAGGTTTCCATTCCATTTGTTTAAGAAAATGAACTGTTTTCTGACTGCTTTCAGCTACAAAGAAGATGGTTATCAAACTTGTTTTGGGACAGAATGATTTAGATATCCAGCAGGTGCAAATGCCAGACATGAATGTTTTCAATATATTAACAATTTGCTTGGATTGTGCAGGAGTGTAATAATCAACCTTCTGTTCCATCTTTGGATCTTCTGGGTGTCTTCCAGGAGTCAACATTATTCTTTGATTTCTTAAGGGTACTTAATTCACATATATTAACTTACTCAGTTTATAATTCTGTCTTAGCAGATACTAAAAATGCAAGATGAACATTCAGACACCCGTAGTGTATTCCATGATGCAGAAGAGTTGATATTTGCTGAGTTGCTCACCTTTGGCTCAGTTGCTCACCTTTGGGAAATAAAAATCATTTTATACAATTCTTGGCAGATCTACCTGTTTTAACCATGTATAGCTAAGTTTTAAAAAATGCATTTTTGGGGTCTGAAATGCTTCCCTGCACTTAATCTTATGTCTTGCCTCATCTCTGAATATGTCATAAAAACAAACAGTAGTATTGAAACAAAATATTATCTGTACTTCAGAGTAAGCATAATCCAATTACAGGGAATTACTTGTAAACTTGAAAAATTGTGGAAGAGGTATACTCCTGTAAGCAAAATTGTGTATGCTCTTGGACAGCTTGACTTGATGTGGTGCAGCTAAGTGTGTTAGACCTTGGTGTATGCACACCTTATGTAGCTGAGAAAAATGTTCTGGGAAAGATGTACGTTATCTTGGTTGCCTTTGATTTCTACTGCTTTTTTTTTTTTAATTACATCATGTTCTGTCATAACTCTCTGTGATAAACTTTTTTTATAAAATCTTGCACATGTACAAGGAAGATGATGGAGAAAATGCAAATACTGCTTATCTTTTCACTTAAGCATGCAAGCACTGATGTTTCCAATTACTTGTTCCAGTGTCTGCATTCAAGTCTCCTTCCATCCCAGTGACTGGAAAAAACTGTGTTAAGGTTTTGATTATTTTGGTTCCGCTGGTTCAGAATGGTGTATTTCTTCTGATTTTTTCTCTAACAGAACATTTCCACATCAAACTTTCATAGCCTGTTCCAAACTGATTACGTGGAAAATAACGAAAGCAATATTGTGCAAGATGTAGTTTGCTTCAGATAGAGCAGTCATTCCTGCATTGAAGGGAGAAAAACCACACAAAACACTCTGGAAGATCTTAAAATGTTTACAGCGTGGTGTGCAGAGGTTTTCAAAGGTGCTAGCACTTAGAGGACTTAAAACCAGAAAAAAAAGTCATTGCTCAATGCAGCTGACTCAGGTTTTGATATCTGGCAGCAGAAATATGGTAAAAGTAATGATAAAATCAGAGTGAAATAACTTTTTTTCATAAATAAGAAAAAAGTTGGTGGTAAAACTTTGGTCATGGTTTTAGTGATGCTTTCAAGTGTACAGCGCTCTTGTAACCGGAGTTCTCAGTAATGCGCTAAGGAGACTGTCTTGGTTTCCCGTAATCCCTTCATAGCTGTATATAAAATGTAATGCTAAAACTATTTTGCTCTCAGGAGTCACTTTGGATGAGATCAGCTGTATTCAGTGAATTATGTAATATGGATTAAATTGTTTGTCTTTGTTCCTGAAATGGTTAGAACTTCTTGCTTTGTCTGCCTGCTTACTCGTGTATGTAAGCACAGGGAAATACAGTCTCTTCATCTGCTCCTGGTGAGATGAGCAGACCATGATGCCCATAAAGTTGTGTCAGGGTAAATGCATAATTTCAGTTAAATATATGTTGCAGGTTGCTCCTCTGATTTTTGGAAAGGGCAAGATGATACAAGTATACAATATCAAAGTAGTTATTTAATTTTTTTAATGAATATAGCACTTTAAAAAAGAGTAGTATGGTTCAGGGGGAAAAAAAATAAACATAGCTAACTAGAAGATACAGCTGCTGTAGTAATTCTGGGCACCAAATTTAACCCACTTAAAAAAATATATCTATAAAGTTCATTTAAGAAAAAGTTATTTGTATCAATGCACAAGTTAATTGTGTGTTTCTACTCATTCTCTAAAAGCTGTTGACAGACACTATTGCCCAGGCTTGCATGTTTCTGCTGCTATGTTTGAAGCCAACTTACTTAAAAGAAGCAACCAAACATTAGCTTGGAAATTCATTATCCTCCTGGGAGGAGGGAGGGTGGAGGGAGGAGTTGAAAGGTGACATTTTGCCAAAGGGGAAAAGACAAAGTCAATAAGCAAAACTTATCTTTCAGGCCTTCTTCAAAGTTATTAAAGGTTGAAGTGTTAATAAACTATTAAAAATGTAGCGGTGTCCTTTTTATTTTGGAACTTCTCCCTGACTCCATTGAGTGAAGAACAGGTGCCTCAATCCCAGCAGCACTGGGGATGCTGATGGGTCTCTCAGATTCATAAGAATCATCTTGACAAATTTTCTTTTTTCTTTTGGGAGTCCACTGGTTTTTAGGTGTGAATTGACTTGCTGGAGCAAACACTTGTTTCAGTCTGTAGCAAAAGATGGAATGAGAGCTATGCAGTTACAGAGCAACCCTAATAAATAAATAAATAAATAAATAAATAAATAAATAACACTGCAATGCCCTCCTCTCCAAGTTTGCAGGCGGGATTGAAATTCTGTAGCCTGTCTTTTTAGCTGCATTGCTGTGAAGGTAATAGTTCACTGCCTTGCCTGCTACTCTGGTTCCTGTGGAATGGCTTTTGGGGGATTGTCCTGGAAGGCCCATCTGTGTGTAGCACTCGCCACTGCTGCTAGGGAGCCTCTGTCTTGGCTGATCCTGAGCTTCTGTGGTAGCTTTAGAGTGGTGGCACATTGGAGTGTTGGACAAGAGGGGGAGCTAAATGCAGGAGTCAGTTTTCATAAGGGTTTGAGCTCCTTCCTGTGGGAAGTGCTGAAACTAATGATGATAAAATGAAGTAGGTTGTTTCTTGTACAAATGTATTTCCCAGGGACACTGAAATAGTGCAAGCGTCTGATTGAAGTTGGTCTGTTGTGTTTTTCTGTTTCAGTGTGTGTTAGGTATGTTGGGGAATTGCTGATTCTGACAGGGCTGCATAAGCAGAGGTAGTGCTGGTGTTGTCACCTATTTATTTGCTTATATGTGACAGATGATCACATAGAACAGAGGTCTTGTGGAAAGACAGAACAGTTGATTCTTATCTTCTATCTGGCCTTGTTGTTACTGGCAGGGGCTGGTAAGGTCCGTGCCTCATTTGCTGGGAGAAGAGTTTGTGTTTGTGTGGGGAACTAGATCTGGAACCTGCTTTGGATGAAATTACTGTTTCATCTACTACAAATTATGTTTTAACTGAATTCTTGTATAAGCATGCAGTGCCACAATACAATGTCATTTTTATTTGAAAACTCGGTACCAGTGTATGTCATGTTGGTAACACGGCCAGCAGGGTATTGAATCTGTGCTTGTATTGCAGCTACTCTCCTGCTGGCAGTGGTGGAAGGCTGATGTCCTCCCTCTTCCTTAGAAAAGACTTAAAAGGATGTTTGTGGTAACCAAGCACAAAGTTATGGACAAACAGCTGTAATTACAGCAAAGCAATCTGAGCTCAAGCACTTGGAATAAGTGAAACAGTAATTGAAGGGTGGCTGAAATAGTTATTGTTACCTTTTGAATTGGTTGATAAGAAAAAAAAAGGCTTTGTAAGTGGTTTAGTTGTGATGGTTTGTTCTTTTTTTTTTTCTTCTTAATGTTAGACTGCTGATCATCCAAGTTCTGCAAAGGGGAAAAAATCCCCCAACAATCAACCAACCAACAGATTGCCATAGCCTAGGAGTAATTATTTCAGGATTTTATGGAAAGTTTTTACTAATATTGGTGCAGGCTCACATGCAAAGATCAATTTAGAGAGACTGTTATTTGATATGAGTATCTAGGCTTTTCTCACAGTGGGTAATAGTTAAATAGCACTCTTTGTGAATGTCCTGGTCTGCCTTGTCAAGGATGGGTTATCCTGGCTTTTGAGATAGGGAAACTGAGGCATCAGTGTTGAGGCAAATGACTAGGTAGTTTAAGCACAGCCCTTATTTTCTAGCATACATTCTATCCTGTTTCTCATCAAGTATTTCTTGAGCCATGTCCAAGTCTTTTTTTTTGTTTGTTGAATTTCAAAAATTCTGCTTCGTGTTGCTTAGACATTTGTAATAGTCTTTTGAAGCAGCCTCCTAAAGACTGAGCTGTTGCTTTGTCTGTTCCCGAAGCCAGGTGTTGAACAGACAGAAAATGTAACTGTTAGGTGTTTAGAAGTGGAATGTGCTCACTGGGATTATAATGCCTGACCTCAGCCAAAGATAGTTGAGGGGGGAAAAAAGGAAAAAATATGCTAAGCATTTGGGTGTGTTGTGTTTGTAGTCCTGAAATATAAAAGTCAGTCTGTGTTGCAAAAAACTTCTGTGGAGCCAGTGCTGTTTGCACTTAACAAGTAAAAGAAAGCAAACTGTCCTAAATGTGTACAGCTGCCCTGTTGGTGGGGGTATATACTGTTGCATTGGGTTTCCCTGGCAAGGCTTTGGTAGTGGGGGGGCTGCAGGGGTGGCTTCTGTGAGAAGCTGCCAGAAGCTTCCCTGGTGGCCTACAGACCCAATGCCAGCTGGCTCCAACACAGGTCTAACACTGGTGAATCTATCAGTGATGGTGGTAGTGACCCTGGGGTAACGTGGCTAAGAAAGGGGGAAAGGTACTGCCCAAGAGCAGATTGCAGCCAGAGTGGAGAATATGTGTGAGAAAGAGCCCTGCAGACCCCAGATGAGTGAAGAAGGAGGGGCAGGATCTGCTCCAGGCACCAGTGCTGACACTCCCCTGCAGCCCATGGGGGTTCACAGGAATGCAGAAATCCACCTGCAGCCCATGGAGGACCCCACGCTGGAGCAGGTGGATGCTTGAAGAGTTTGTGATCTTGTGGGAAACCTGCAGTGGAGCAGGCTCCTGGCAGGACCTATGGACCCATGGAGAGAGGAGCCAATGCTGGAGGTTTTCTGGCAGCACTTGTGACCGTGCTGGAGCAGTCTGCTGCTGGAGGAGTACACCTTGTGGAAGGGAGCCATGTTGGAGCAGTTTGTGAAGAACTGCAGCCCATGGAAAGGACTCATATTAGGGGTTTGTGAAGGACTGTCTCATGGGAGGGACCCCATGCTGGAACGGGGGGATATTGTGTGAGTCCTTCCTTGAAGAAGGAGTGGCAGAGACAATGTGTGATGAACTGATCACAACCTCCATTCCCCATCCCCCTGCACTGTTTGGAGGGAGAGGAAATCAGGAATAAAATCAAGCCTGAGAAGAAGAGAGGGGTGGAGGGAAGATGTTCTAAAATTTGGTTGTCTTTTTCATTATCCTACACTGATGTGGTTGGCAATAAAGTAATTTGCCCAATAGTCTGTTTTGCCCATGATGGTAATTGGTGAGTGACCTCTGCCTGTCCTTATCTTAACCCATGAGCCTTCCATTGTATTTTTTCTCTGAGGGAAGTGATAGTACAGCTTTGGTCAGCATCTGCCATCCAGCCACGGTCAACTCACCACAATTGCTCTTCCCATGGAAGTGGAGAAGTATTTTTCCTTTGCTGCTTTGATAGCCCAAACACAGATGATACAGACAGATACTTCAGCACTTCTTTTTATAAAAAGGCACTTCCTTTTTTGAAAACTAAACATGTTTGACTCTTGCAAGCAAAGATGCTCCAGAATCCATCTGACTCAGAGGTTAAGCCCACTGATGCGTTTTCACTCAAAATTAGTAAATGTTTCTATTACTGCTTTTCAGACTGCAGTAGATTTCTGCACTAGGATGAAGGTTGGTCTGAGAAATGTTAGTAATGAGAATAATTATCTCTGCTTCTTAATGCTTGAAAGACATTACTTTAAATCCTTGTGTAGTTTATGGAACCATGTTATGAAAAGACTTAGGAAGAAAGTCTACAGAAAACAAAACCTGAACTTTGGGTCCAGCCCTCTGGAACTGCAGTCAGAAGTACCAAGAGTGCAGCTTTGATAATCAAGTGAGTGGTTCTTAGAAGAAGCAGCAGCATATGTAGTAGCTATTTTTCACTGCTTGCCTTAATCTCCTCTGGTTAGTTTAAAATGTTGAAGTGATAAGTATGAGATATGTGTCCCACACCTCAGGAGTGGTTGGTGTCAAGTGAAGAAATTCAGAGTATGGTAGGAAGAGATGGCCGGGACGAAAGCGAGGTGGACTGCATCAGAAGTGGCTTTGTGGTGGCTTGGTAGTCCCAGGACGCCTGGACTGTTAGAAAGGTCTGCATGTGCTGCCTTCTCTCTAGACACATGCTGGGAACTGCCTTGCCTTCTCCAGGCATGGGGATTTCTCTGCAGTTTTAGGGTGTAAAGCTTCAAACGTGGTGGCTGCCCTTGTAAACAGGAGAATGCCAGGAGAAGGATTTTCATTTTATTGGTGCCCAGGATTGTCTAACCTCAGATTTCCAGTGCAGCCTTCAGCTTCATGGCAGTCCTTTCTGGCTGCACTGAATACCTTGAAATACTTTAGCCCTTGGGCCTCTCATTTCACATCCCAGCTTCAAGAAAATGAGAACAGATTGCCTTCCTGATTAGGTGAAATAATCTCTTCATCCTGCCTCCACAGGAACCAGGTTACAATGGCAAAGGAAGGTCAGCGTATTTGTGGAAAAACCTGACTTAAAAGAGACAAGATGTATGTGATCGCAGCATTTTAATGCTACTGTCCCCTGTGTGAATTTGAAATCTAGTTCAAGCCACATTTGATAGAGAGGTGTATGATTCACAGATACCAATTACCTCCAATTAAAGGAAGATTAGAGCTCGGATGAAAGACATTTAAATTGAGTCTCCCAGCCTGGGCAAGTCTGTGTGGCAGGCTGGAAAGATACCTGTTCTTCTTGCTGCTGTTGGCATCCTTGCCAAGCTGTGGGCATGGGCACAGATCAAACACCCTGGCAGCTGCTGGCAGTGTCCCTGCTCTTGTCAGCAATGGGGTGAGAGATGAGTGGGCTACAAGGGATTGGGTTGGCAGGAGCAGTGGGGGCAAGAGCTGTCACCAGACTAAACTCATGGGGAGGGGGTGTGGAGGTGAGAGTGCTTCTCCTTCTACCAGGGAGTGGGAATGGATGACCCAAGAAACCTGCTAAGAAATGGGCTGAAAAATGCTAAAAATTAGAAGAAAGTATAATTCTGCATGTTATGCATCCTCACCGCTCTGCTCAGGCACTTCAGAAACACTAATGGTTCAATGATTGCAAAGAGATCAGAGGAGTCTGCTGTTCAGAGTGGCCAAAACTGACCTC